CAATTCTGTTACCTTTCCCGTCTTTCTCCTGACTGGGATTAGGAAAGAGGTCCTCTTCCACAAAATTTAGAAGTTCTGTACTGCCGAAAATAAGCTCCTATGAAAATAAGCTCCTATGAAAACTTCACAGGAATGGAGCTTCCCATTATCCAAGTGGTCACGTATCTGAACAGCACCAATATCCTCAACTCTTCCATAAAATCCAGGCTCAAAAGAGGCTAGAGGCTTGCAAAGTAAGTACACCTGCAGCCTCTAGACTGTTCACTGACACAGCCCCAAACAAACTTCTAGCAATCCAGATTTTATATCAATCTCTAATTAAAGATCATGGGGGAGGAGTAAAGCAGAGGAGGTGAAGGAGGGAAAGTAAAACTGTATCTTCATCTGCACTCACGATTCAGAAGCTCAAGAAGTTCTCTCTGATTCTGATGTCAACCTATGTAGTCAACCACTATCTTCTAGCAATTTAATATTTTTAAGTGAATGCTAGGCTTTGGCAAGATGCTAGTCTGGAGACCAAAGTCTTTCTGTGGCTAAAATTCAGCACAAGCTACAAGCTGTCTCCATCAACTCAACACTCTCTCATACCTTAAAGTAAAGGAACTTCAGATGTGCAAGTTTAGTTCATGTTTTCTGCTAAAGGTACAGGTGACATAATTTACCACTTAACAGAAGGGATTCAGATTTTATCACCATAACTTGGTCCTCAATAAAGGAGGACTACGTTACCACAATTTAGCTTCCATTTACTGAAAGAGAAAAGTCTGCACAAAAGGTAGTTACCACAGAGCTACTGACACACAGTAAAGCAGCTGTGTCTGTATACCCATAATTTAAGACTACCAGATGAAGTACAAATTAGTACAGTGCATGGAGTGTGGTGTAGACACTTGTTCACTAGGCCACAGACCAGTGGGTCTCAACTTAAAAAAAAAAAAAACAAAAAAAAAGAGAGGGGGAGAGAGAGAGAGAGAGAGAGGGGGGAGGGGGAGGGGGAGAGAGAGTGTCAGGGCACCCCTAACCACTTTTTTAATTTATTTTTTTTTAAACATGGTTGCAAAGCAACATTGATACTGCCTCATGTGCTTCACAATCAGGTCCTATTGCCTTCAAATAAAATTGCCCTGGGTCTGCTGCACAGCCATCCCAGGAACAGCTGTGTCCTGAGAACACACCAGTGGCAGCAGACAGGTAAAACTGCCCAACGTGCACTCCTGTTACATTAGGACCATGGTTGGCCTTAAACCAGGCAGGAGCTGCCTTGTGTTGTGTAGCTTTTCCAGATTTGGCCCCTCCTATGCTCCTCCCAGAAACAGATAAGCATGGGTGCAATTGTCCCACGTGCTACCATGGCACTAAATAAAATAACTCCTGCCAAAGGCTGTTCAAGTTTCAAGTTTTCAGATTCAAATCCTGGTGACTTTCAATCTGCATGAAGTCACACAGCCCATATTTTTTTAAGCTGACACCCTGTACCCGACCCCCACCCCCACCTTTTAAGAGGATCTGAATCTTGATTTCTCAATTTCTGCCTCTTCCTGCTGTTAAACAAGTCTCTTGATCTGGGAACAGTCCAGCACTGTATCCCATATATCCTGCCTTCCTTCTAGCTCACTAGTGCAATCCTACTCTCTTTACAGCATGAAGCTCCTCCTTCCACTATTTTATTTACTTTACTCCATGCATGAAATTGATGTTTTGTGCTTGTTTAAATCCTTCCTTCCACCCCATCAACCCCAGAATAATTTATCAACCCCTGTGGAATTGTTACAGGCACAGCAGCAGAGAGAGAACCCTCCTCTACTTTACTACAAGACCACCAAAAGGATGGCGAAAAGAGAAAGCGGGATTCTTGTGTCAAGTCTGAAGAAACAGAGCCTCTTATCCAGGCTGTTTAAAGAAAGCCTTCTAAAACAAGCCTTGGTTTAATTGAAAATTTTACTTTTTTTTGGCACCTATCACCTTTACTTATAAAGCCAGAAGTTTTTACTGTAGAGCAACACAGTAAAACCAAACTATAGAAGAGTAAGTTTCATATTTTTTGGCTTTTATCCACAATCAAGCTGGTCAGCTATGCTCTTAAGCACACAATCTGCTAGTGGTGATGATGCAAACAACAGAAAGAACTCGGCTTGTTTTTCAGATACCAAGTTTAATTTAGAGCACTTATAGGAAAACACCTTGACAGAACTGCAGACATGAAACCTGCTGCCCATGATGCACTTAGCACGATTTAATTAGCAAGGTCACTTTTCTGATCATAACTATGACAAAACAATAGTGAAAGGGTGTCTCAACTGTGGGATGTATATAATGGGGATCAACTGTACCAAGCTGTAGCAAACTGTACTTTGATGGCACATACTGCTGGTGACAGACAAATCCTATGGCTGTAACAATCCTCTTGCATAACTACCCTTGAATCTCCACTGAATGTATTCAATTAATTGACCTGTGAAATATACTTCTATAGCAATTTTCCATTCTGGTGACTAAAATTAATCTCACTAATATGAATTAATTAATTACTGACAACTCTCCGAAAAAAGGACCATTTCTCCCCCTTTACAGATGTGGAATCAGATACAGACTTCTCAAAGTCACTTGATATATGGTAACGACATACTATATTCTGCAAGAGGCAAATCTGTTCTGAACATTAGCCATTTACAAACCAAAGTAGCAAGAAATACAGTTTAATTTGCTTACAGGGAAGCAAAATATTCCATGCTTGGGTGCACACATACAGAAAAGAAGAAAACAATACTGCATGTAAAGCCTAACTTGTTTGCTAACGTGAATATGGGGGGAAATTAAATAAACTATTCTTAAATATTAGGCTATAGAACAAATACCCTAATACTACAGCATAAAAAATAGCTTAAAACTTACCCCGCTACATATTATTTCATTTATGTTAAACGCAAATCTTTTTACGATGCACAGTTGCATAAGACAGACTGTATTTTGCAAACTGAACACATTTGCAGTTTAAGGTATTTGGTTGCATTAAAATGTTCAAACTACTCAAAAAGAAGTCTGCTAAATAAAATTTAGCTGGAATACATTGAAATATGAAAAATGATACAAAGCTCAAAGAGACATTTCTGTCATAACTAATCTTCAGTTGCCTACATTATGCAATTTCAAATCTCTATTTGTCATGGATGCATGCTGCAAGAGGGATTTGCATGTATATAGCTACCTGTTTATTTGTAATAAACATCTCTCATGATAACCGTGCACTCTAACAATTTAAAGGATTTTTCACATGCGAATTGAAACCATCTAACAATTTGCTAATAATGTCCATATTAACTTTTACAGCTTTCCAGTTTTAAAAAACAGTCTCCTTTTCAAGACTGTTTCTCACTCACTATCTCAGTTGAAAGACTCACAAAGGGGACTGAGAGCTGTCTCAGACCTTAACTAAAGGGACAACAATATTGAATCTTCAATAGAAAAGGCTTTTCTTCCAACTGTTTCATAAGCAATAATCAAACCAAACAAAAAAAAGTTTAAAATTGAAAAGTAAATGCTTCTTAGGCTGGTTTTACTATTTTGTGCATTTGTGCTATCATAAAGCCAATCACCACCAGGGCTGGTCTTCTGAAGAACAGAATACTGGGCATTAAACCCAAACTTTTAATGCAAAACATTCACTCATTTCCCCCAACCTCTTGTGAAGCTCAAACCAGAAAAAGGAGGGCGACAAACCTAATTTCTCCTTAATTCTGAACAATTAATCTTTCAAAGGTTAAACAAAAAGTTAATCCCACCCAATCTAGTTTTATTTTATACATTGATGACGCCAATCCTTCATTCCATGACTGGATGCAGGTTTTGTAAAGTAGGGTATGGGAACAGCAACTGGTGCTTCAGAGATGGGTGCACCCCTCACCCCCTTTCCCACCTCCTACCAGGATGGCCAGACCACACTGCAGGAGTAGCAGCCAGGGCCTTTTTAAAGTTCCGAAATTGGGAACTCTTGCAGAATTCCCCTGCTCCCCAGCCCCAGCCCCATGCTCAACAGAACCTCCCCTCTTTCCATTCCCTCCGCTCCCACCCACTGTTGTCACTGTCCTTGCTGTATCTGCCTGCTCCAGGGGCCAAGGAAACTTGAGAGCCACTCCTGGCCTGCCCCAGCTCCCCCACCTGCAGGGCAGTGAGGGACAGCAGCTGCAGCACCTAAGACAAGAGGGACGGATGGGGACATACTGCTAACTATGGAAGGGAATTCTTACCTGATTTGGGGAGCGTAAAAAGAGGAGTTCAAATTCAGCATGGCTGTGTAACAGGGCAATCTGTCTCCTTATGACGGGGCAGCCAGCCCTGTTGAGTAGCTGCAGCTATAGGGGAGCTGCTAATAACGGAGTGACTCACTAGGAGCTTAAAACCCCAGACAGGAGAGGAGAAAGGGAACCGCGGGGGTGCAGTTTGGAAGGAAGGAGCCAGCTGTGAATAACAACTTGCTACAGTGTGGAGCCATGCTGCTGTGCCCCGACCCAGAGCCAAAGGAGCTTCCCTCCAAACGTTTGCAACAGGGCATCAGGGTTTGTTTGTTTGTCTGTCTATTTGTCTGCAGTTTAAAGATAGTGTTTGATTTGGGAGGAGTGGCTGAGGAGCTCCTCAGGGAGCAAACCTGCCTGCCAAAGCCAGCAGGCTAAGCAATCTGCTTACAAGCTGTAATTAGCAAATTTATTATTTACAGAGCACAAATCATCTGCTTCATGAAGGGTGAATGTCTATGCTGATGTCACACTTTTCAACTCAAAAGGCAAGCACCAGACAATTACAATACTATAGCATGAGCCATGAATCCAGTTTTTCAATGGCAGGTTAAATAAAAGCATCCCTTCTGCTCTGGCCCTTGACAAAAATCAGGATTGAAATATTTCTGGAAGTGTTTTCATCAAACTAGCAACAATGCACCAAATGTATTCAAATGTTATAATACTGTATATTTAAAAGTGTTAGTCATAAACATGACAAAAAAGCTGACAAAAAACCCAAAACAAAACCCTTTAAGCAATTCATACGGTAGAAAACTCTGAAAAGAAACATGAGGAGTCAGAAACTTTTACCCAGTTTGTATTTGTGTATAAGAACTCAATATAGCTTTATCCTTCAATTAAGTCATAATCCTGTAGCTGAAAGCTCAGTGCGTTTTCACAGGAGATGATCTGTACATTACGTTGCTAATTTAGTATTCTGACTGTACTGCAGGGTCAGGTGACAGGATGTAGTACAAGATTTGAAAATAAGTAGCTTAAAAACTTGCAAAAGTAACTGAGGAAAACAAGAAAGGAAAATAAAAAGTTTCTTGCTACAGGTGGGATTGTGGTTATTTGAGCTTCTGTTGTACAATAAGAACATATATATTGTCTACATAGAAATCACAGAAAATTAGGTTTAGAAAGGACCACAGGAGATCATCTAGTCCAGTGGTTTTTAACCTCCTTTTATTTGTGGACCCCTACAAAATTTTGAAGGGCGGTGCAGACCCCTTCGAATTCTAAGTGTGGGCATTCACACACTTTTGATTAATCACGGTCATCTTTTACACACCCCTTAGACAGTCTGCAGACCACAGGTTGAAAACCACTGATCTAGTCAAACCGCCTGCTCAAAGTAGAGCCATCCCCACCACATCATCCCAACCAAGACTGTCTAGCTAGCTCTTAAAAGCCTACAAGGACAGAGATTCTACCACCTCTCGGCGTAACCTGTTCCAGTACTTTACTATCATCCTCATGAGAAAGTTTTTCCTACTATCCAACCTAAACTTCCCTCGCTGCGACTCAAGACCATTGCTCCTTATTTTGTTATCCGCCATCACTAAGAACAGCCCAGCTCCATCCTCTTTGAAACTGTTCTTCAGATAGCTGAAGGCTGCTATCAAACCTGCCCCTCAGTCTTGTCTTCTACAGACTAAGTCCAGTTCCCTCAGCCTCTCCTCCAAAGCCATGTGCCCCAGCCTCCTCACCATTTCTGTTGCCCTCCACTGAACTGTCTCCAATTTGTCTACATTCTTTCTGTAACAGGAGGCCCAAAACTGGACACAATACTCCAGATGTGGCTTCACCAGTGCCAAATATAGGGGAATAATCATTTCGCTTGCTCTGCTGGCAATACTTCTACTAATGCAGCCCAGTACGATGTTAGCATTCTTTGCAACAAGAGCACATGTGGTATTAATTTAGTTCCATCACCACTGGATCAGAACACCTCACAGACTATAACACGTTTATCCTCACAGCACCTGGAGAGGTACAGAAGAACTATTATTCCATTACCCCTCCCCAGATGGAAGTAGGGCACAGAGAAACTAAGGGCTAAATCCACAAAGCATCATACCTCTTAACTTTTGGGCACCTGGCTCCCAGAGTGGAACTTAAGAGTTAGGAGCTTAAACCCCTATGCAATACATGGGAAGAAAAAGGAACAGCTGAATGAGTCACAACTTATCCAGCGGGACAGTGGTTAAAACAAGAGTGGCCAAGGGGAGCACATTACTTCCTCCAATTGTTTTCAAAGAAAAGAGTGGCCTTTCCCTCACACCCACCTTCCCTGGTCTAATTTTGAAGGGAACAATTTAGACACCTTACTCCAAGCGAAAGTTTCAGACTGCAAATCCGATCCTGACACAGGTGTCTTCCTGCAGCACAGAAAAGGGATTTGAGATATACCATCCTTTTCAGTGCTTAGGTGGCTCGGTGCACAGCGTGCTAGCTGTTGTGACTCTCATTCAGTGGGTGGCTGGTGGCAGACTGGGTAAGAGACAAGCAGCACAACAGCAGATCAGGTGGGGAGCACAGATCTGGGAGCAGAAAGCAGAACAGGCATGGGAAGGAGAAATGGATTAGACGGGAAACTTGAAGGTGCAGAGTTAATTTATGGACCTGCCAAAAAAGGATCAATCCCCAACACACAAACTGAGGAGTTTTTCCAGGATCAGAAGAAACAGTGCAAGTTCCTAGTGTAAAAACAACAAAGCCCGCTTCTCCCAACATACCAGGAAAGCGCCCTACCCAGGGGGCTAGGGGCTGTTCTTGTGTGAGGACACCTTCTGTTCCCAATGAGGCAGAGTGCCAGACAGGACCTTGTAACTAGCCCAGAGATTAGGATCCTCAGGGGG